TATATGTAAAATAATATGTTAATTAGATAGTAATGAAAATAATAAAATATTGAAAAAGTGAAATAGAGAGTGTGAATGGTAGTTCTCCAAATTTGGAGAACTACTATTCAACTCTCTAAATTTGAAGAATAGAGAGTGATTTGGAAGTGGATTGGAGTACCCATTCTCTATTTTATTCTCCAAATATAGAGAATGGAGAGTAAAATAGAGGTGGGTTGGAGATGGTCTTACACTCTTCAATTTACAGGAGAAGCTATAAATTGATTGTAATTACATGGTGTAATTACAAGCTAATTACTTTTTAATTTCTTCCTTAGTTTATTTCTATTTTTATTTTTTTCGTTTTAATGTCTTTTTTATTTTTATTATTCTAATACTTTCTAAGCTTGACCTCAATAAAAACTTCTCATTTAGGATAAAATAATAAATGCAAATTGTATTTTTATTCAAATTAGAATGTATTATTCTTTTTTAAATGGACATATTGTGTCACATAAACATTTTTATTGTGATTCGTGAATATACCAAGCTAATTAGAAATAGATTTATTGTGACGACTTAACAAATGTTAAGGACAGAGCACGTTTACTAGAAGAGATGTAATGTCCTTGTTGCCTTAGCAGTTGGAAACGAAGAGAAACAACGTAAAGATTGTCACCAATATTTTCACTCTGTAGTTGGGACATTGTCGTATAAAAAATGTTTAGAATGGATGTTTCGATTTCATTATGGAAATGATATGCTACTCCCAATCGTTGGATTGTGTCTATCAACACAAGTTTTTGAGTGCTATTGTCACAAGTTTCCACCAACATTTTCCTGAATATCTCTTTTAACTCATCAACTTCAACCTTTTCTTGGCTACATATTTCCTACGGGAAATCCAATATTCAGCATTACTTACTATAATTGATTATAAGTTTTATACGCCTCGTGGTTGTAATATTTCTCTAGTACTTCTTAGACAAAAATTAAGAAGGTATAACATGAAAAATTAAACAACAATATAATATGGAGATTTTAAACAAATAGTATGTGTTAACTCACAAGAGTATAAGAAAGGAAATGATAATCCCAAACAAAAAGAGGGGGAATAGGGGATAAAACAAAAGAAAGAAAGAGCAAGAAGAAGAAAAATAGGAGGAAAACAATATAGAAATTATAAAAAAAATATTAGGGATAAAAAGATAAAATTGTCGGTCAAACATTACTTTAAGTACTTTTTTTATTTGTCAAATACTTCTAAAAGTACAAAAAAATAGCTTAAAAGCTGGTTGAACCAACTTTTAAATTAATCTAAACATCCACTGATTCACTAGACGTAAGAAAAAAAAGAAGATAAAATATCGAGTCAAAATGTCTTAATCAAAATTATCATAATTATTACTTCTAAAATTTTCATTTGTTAAGTTTAAAAAATATTAAGATCATTATTTGTTGGTTGATTTCAAAGAAGAGATGTGAATAATGTGAAGGGTGATTGTGAGTATTGAAGATTTTAAAACTCCATTGATAAACTTGAAAAAAACTTAAAGAATAATAAATGGATCTTATGAATTTGTAAAATTGATTAAAAATTTCAAATTTTTTGATTGGGTTGGATTTGTGTTGGTAAACTTGTAGTTGAATTTACAAGTTAAATC